TTGGCCAGAAATATATCTGTCAGAAGTAATCAAAGTAATAATACACCGCAAATTCATTTCTGTAACAGTGCCTCACCTGCCTCATAGTCCTATGTTGGTTGTCCAAGCATGTCCAAGTAATGTCTAGGAGAGAAACTCAAAACGGATTCGTAGACCACAAGTGTAGGAGTATATTATTGTATAACATTTAAATCATTCTAGTATAGAATTCTTTGAGATGACGTCATGAAATTCTTGGTGGGGATAATTAGACAATTTTTGGTTAGTGTTTTACCATCTACATGATTTTCATGATACACATATATAGCTTGACAATAATCGGTCTAGTAATTTCAGAGATCATTTGCCTGATAAAAATAAAAAAAGTGGTAAGTCAACCAGTTGACTCGATTACAATAAAGTAGGCATTGATGTTGAGATTGTAATAACTCTGTTCAAAGCCTTACTGAGAGATTTAGATCATTTAACATGTTCTCATAGTATTTTTTTAGTATTTAGTATTTAATATATTTGTGTTACCATACACAATATTTACACCGGTCATAAAATATTACATATATAAAAGCTAATACTAAATCAAAACTGACAAGGAAAAGCACATTACTTTTGCATAGATCGAAAAAATTCTTCAAACGGGAAGTATTTTTATAGTAGGTATTTATTTTCCATAGTATTTTTATTTCACTATTCGACACAATGTTAGAATGAAATGGTTGAAAAACTTATTTGGGAATGGTCCGAGCATCATTTCATTACACTTTACTATCTTACTCTATTATTTTAGTTGTCTGAAATTATGTTTAGTCGTTTTATAAATTTTTTTGGGCCCTGTAGATCTTTCGAAGACTGACAAAACTTACTAGAACAAACAGTTGTTCGCTTTGTTTTTTCAAAAATCTAAATTTGTTTTGGATTTTCTTTAATTTCGTCCGTGATCGATTTAAATAGCTCTTCTATGCATTTCTGATTAAACTCTTGACCTTAACACGATAATTTTTAAACATTTGTGAGAACTAGTTTGTTTTAGGTGTTCAAAAATTTGTTTGTTAAACCTTGCAGGAAATTTTAATAATAGTAATTTATTGTCAAACAGAACTGTTCCAATAGAGACAATAAAATATAAATAAGAGAATTGATGGCTACATTTGCCTTAAATAAAAATTAAATGTACTCTCCTTACAATTAAAAATATCTAAATTAACTGGTAGATTGTTTATAGCAGTCACAATTTTATTAACAACAGAGCTATTTAAACCAAAATTAGTTTTTCTAAAGGGACAAACAAATATATCGCGGTTTCTGGTATTAACTAAAGGCTCTTTGAAATTTAAAAGCAACAGAAGCTGTGGACAATCTATTTGATTATGCAAGAGTTTAAACCCAAATCGTAGCTTAAATTTCAAAAAGCGTTTCAACAGTGCTTCCAATTCCGTTAGATTAAGTCTCTGATCATAATTATATTGCGATTTATTAAGCCCCATCTTGAAAATTAAAAAGTTGCACATTTTTCTCTGCACTATTTCTAGTCTTGTTACGTGGACTTCATAAAAAGGAAACCAAATAATTATGCCGTACTCTAAGATAGGTCTAACTAGTGCAATAAAAAGCTTACGAACAGCAGCAACGCAGTGAAAATCTCTAGTCATCCTTTTTATGAAACACGATATGACTTATCAATAATATAATCCATGTGGCTATTAAAGCGTAGTTCAGAATCAAAAACTATTCCTAGATCTTTAATTCCATTCACTCTTTCCAAAAGCTTATTATTTATAGCGTAGGCGAATACATAGTTACATAATTTTCTAGAGAATGTTATAATCTTGCACTTGTCATTGTTGAGGATCATATTATTATTAATACACAACTTCGTAGTAACATCCAGGGCTGCTTGGAGCCGATAACAATCTTCAAAGGAACTTATCTTGGAAAAAAATTTTAAATCATCAGCAAAAAGCAGTAGATTCGATGTAGAGAGGGATACTGCGAGATCATTAATAAATAGTAGGAAGAGTATTGGACCAAGATGACTACCCTGGGGAACTCCGGAAGGTATTAAGAGAGAAATCCCTTTAACGAAATTATTTGAATACGATTGGTAATATAAGAGAAAATCCATGTGTGAAGTTGACCACAAATACCGAGATACCAAAGTTGTTTCATTAGAAGAGCATGGTTAACACGATCAAACGCCTTACTAAAATCTAAATAAACCGAGTCAACCTGGCATCCATCTTCAAAAGCATCGATAATAAATTCATTGTATATAGCAAGATTGGTCACTGTACTTCTACTAGGAAGGAATCCATGTTGATACGGTGAAAGGATATTTCTGTAGAGTCGAATAAGTTGTTCTCTAATAATTGATTCTAAACCCTTACATAAAGCAGAAATAATCGATATAGGTCGGTAGTTAGTAACTTCAGATTTGTCTCCAGTTTTGTGCAGGGGAATCACATGAGATTGTTTCCAAATACTGGGACAAATACCAGTGTCGATAGATTTTCTGTAGAGTAAAAAGACAGGCCAGCCTAAGCTACTGGCACACTGATTTAGGAAATAAGGAGGAATTCCATCTGGTCCTGGATTTAAACTAGGTTTTAGAATTAATAGTTTGTTTCGAATCAAGTCAGGATTTAAGTCAATATCATGTAAATTAACGTTATTCAGAAACAAAGAGGGATTTAATTCAGGGTTATGGTTGTTCACATTTGAATCATATACATACTTAAAGTAATTAGTAAACATATTGGCAATCGTTTGGGGATCAGAGGAGTGTAAATCTTGGTGGTGCATATTTTTCGGTACACTAGATTTAGAATTGCGACTTCTGGAATTTACGTAGTTAAAGAAGACTTTAGTATTATCATGAACGTTATTTTCAACGAAGCTTATATAGTTATCGTGGTCTTCTTTTATTGCAACCTTAGCTAGTCTACGAACAGCTTTAAAATGATTATAATGGGTTACATTCAATGTAGATCTGTATAATGAGAATAATCTATTCTTTTTATTTACAAGTTTAACAGTATTTGGCTTAAACCATACTGGAAAATGAATATTGGGTTTACTAGTTTTAGGAGTACAGATATCATTAGTCTCATGAACAATGGAGTAGAAAGTTTCAATTGTAGCTTCAGTATCTGAATATTGCAAAAGAGAACCCCAGTTTATAGATGAAAAATAGTTATTTAAAAAGTGATCATTGGCTTTTTTGAAGTTATAGTACCAACTGATTGAAGGCACAATATTGGAAGTTGCATGATTTGTGGGGAGAATTATACAGAGTGGAGGATGATGGTCATCCACGGTAACTAATCCAAAATCTTCACTATGAACTTCAGTCGACGAAGACGATGTTAATATGAAGTCAAGAATAACACCGTTTTTATTAATCTCATGATTATGCTGAAATAACTCCAATGAGAAGAAACCATCACAGATATTTTTTTCTTTGTCGCTGACCCCTGCCATACAATGTCTTGAATCATTTGTGAAAAATAAATTTGGTAAGTTGTAATCACCTGCGATGCAAAGGTTAGCATCAGGATATGTTGTTCGGATGGAGTCCATTGATGAAATATTGTCCAAGTAAGAGTTTAAATCGGAGTTAGGTGGAATATGGACCGCACCGCATACTATAAAACTTTGATTAAAACTAATTGATACATATAGTTCTTCACATATTGAATCAGGAAAGCTTAGTTTGCTAGATGACAGATCAGCTCGCACAGCAATAAGTACACCTCCACTCCTAGTTTTTTTAGTAGACATTGGATTACGATGACGACGAAAAACTGTAAATTTTGAATAAAATATTTCACTGTCTGTTATATCACTACACAACCAAGTTTCGGTGAGAACAATTACATCATAGTCCTAATTTAATGACGATAGAAATGCTGATAGTGTTTTAGTTCGAAGTCCGCGTACATTTTGATAAAAGAGTCGTAGTCCGGAGTTAGAAATTACTTTTTTGATTGGACGATTTTAGGCATGCCATTGTAATACCGTAGACTAATGTCAGCTTCTCCATTGTCTCGCCGTGTTCGAAATTCCTGTCTAATGTTATAAGCTTAGGTTTGTTGCATCGGGGTGAGATCAGCATTGAGGTTTAGTTGCCTGCAATTTTTGGCCGAAATTAGGCTAATTTCTTTTTCATCACATTTATGTTAACTTCTAAAGCAGGATGATAAATACCTTTTGGTGTCAGTAATGCTTTCTCATGTTTTACTTATCAAGGAAAATTACAAAAAATAAGATCTTTTAGAACTTAAAAATTATCAAACACTTGATGTAAGGTACTAGAGTCGTGGAAATGAGAACTGTTCTTTAATCGTGAAGAAATTAGATCCTTAGTGATAAATATTGAAGGGGATTATTTGATTACAGTTTCAGTGAATGTGATAGTTTAAGCCCAGAGGGTAATCTCGTTAGAATTCAACCTCTCTGTTAACAAAACTGCTATTTACATGTTACAATACCCTCAGATACTTATAATATTCAGTAACAATGTCTTAATGTTAGACAATCTCATAAATAGCATATTACGAGAAAACGGGGATTTACATGAACAACCGAGTAACAATTTTGAACTGAAGCGAATCTGCATAATTTTTAATTGCACTTTTCCGGAGAAGATCTTGGTTTAAGTTACTTTAATAATAATTAATCAAGCTGTCATCAAAATTTCATCAATATAGTAAAGTTTTAATGAAATTTTGTTTTAAAGTTCCAGGTTCTTAATCTTGCTGGTTTCCTTTTTATATATACATCGTGGAGGCGACATCCCGGTTGTTTTGTTGAAATGTGGGAGAAACTCCTGCAGTCTTTCCTTCATAATTATAGCCATGCATCATTCCCATAAAAAATTTAGTACTTATAATCTAGTTCTGTTTGCATCTGGCATTTTTTTACCAGTTGCCTAATCTAGCCGCTCGGTATTTCTTCTATACCGTAGCGGCTACTTATCTGTTGATAATTTTTTGCAACTTTGCAAAATGCCGGCGTGCAGGATATGTGATATTAACATTAAGGACTTCGAGAAGGCTCAAAAGTGCTTTGCCTGTGGCAATAAAGATCATGCAAAATGTTTGAAAATTGAAGAGAGTGACCTTAAAATCTTGTGCAAATACGGAAATTTTCGCTATCTGTGTAATGAATGTCTTATTTTGGAGGGAACCTCCAAAATTGATGTCTTAAAGGAATCTGTTGTAAAGTGTCTAAATCATATCGAAAATAAAATTGAACATAATAATCAAATTCTAAATCAAGTTAAGGAAATTCTACCTTCTGAAAGTTCAACAAAAAATGATTCTTATTCAAACGTTGTTAGCAAATCTAAATCTACTGTTATTTTGCAACCAAAAGATACTAAACAGTCGATTTCTACTACAAAAAAAGATTTATTGAGTCAAGTTGATCCGGTTAAATTGAACCTTGATGTGGCCTGTGTTAAACCTGGTCGTAATGGAAGCATCATCATAAGTTGTAATGATACTGACGACTCTAATAAAATTAAGAATTTAGTTGGTGAAAAATTAACGGACTACAACGTGAAAAATTTGCCAAGTTTAAAGCCGCGGATTAGGATTTCCGGAATAGACAAAGACATTCCAGATGAAGAAGTGGTAGACTACATTGTGGGTGAGAATAGGTCTTTATTTAGTACTGAATATATCTGCGTATTAAAAAAATATCTTTCTTTGCGGAATAATAATAAGCGCATGCAAGCAATCGTCGAAGTAGATCTAGGCTCCTACAGTAATATAACCAATGCTGGGAAATTACTTGTCGGGTATGACTACTGTAAAGTTTGGGACGCGATTGAAGTTCGTCGATGCTTCAAATGCTCTGGTTTTAATCATATGTCAGGTCAATGTACAGCAAAATCTCCTATTTGTCCAAGGTGTGCCGGGGCTCATGTGCTAAAAGACTGTCAGTCTGAATCTCTAAAATGTACTCACTGTAGTTCTCACAAAGACAAAAATCCAGATATTTCCGATAACCATGCGGCCTGGGATATTGACAAGTGCTCAGTGTACCAAAATCAACTTCAAAAGCTTAAGGCTTTAATACTGGATACTAAGTAGCAATCACAGAATTCGCAGATGATTAATAGTTCTGCCACCAAACTATCTCTTACGAATAATTCTTTACCCAGTTGCTCAGCCAGTTCGTCATTTTTGTGTTGTTATTATCAGAATGTTAGAGGTTTATGCACCAAAACAAGGGAATTATACTTATCCTTAATGTCTGAAACGCATTTAAAACTAATTGCACTATCTGAAACTTGGTTGCATAATGGTATAAAGGATGAGGAATTAATAGATGTAGCTAAATTCAACGTTTATCGCAAAGATCGCAACTTCAAAGCGTGTAAATGTGTAAGGGGTGGGGGAGTACTTTTAGCGGTGGATCGTACTATATCTTCCAGTATCTGTGATAATCCTATGTGCAACAACATCTGCGATATTCTGCCTACTATTGATCTATTGTTAATAAAAATCAACTTTAATTCCCATACTATCTATGTTCTAGTAATATACATACCACCTCAATGTGATAATAATGATTATGTGATATTTTTTGATTTTCTGTTGTCTATGTCTTTTTTGTATGAGTCTCAACTAATTATATTTGGTGACTTCAATTGTTCAGAGTTTATTCGAGATACATCAAGCATAACGTTACCTACTATACCTCATCAGTGTATAATAAATTTTATTTCTTTTTACGATCTGAAACAATGCAATAATATTTTAAATAGTAACAATCGGCTTCTTGATCTTCTTCTTATTAGTAAAGATAATCACTGTATTGTTTCTCATGCACATGATCCACTTCTACCTGAGGACCGCCACCATCCTGCTCTTGCAGTTGAAACCAAAATGCCAAGGTATTACCGTAAGAAATTTCCAATTTCGGTGGCCTCTGATTATAATTTTAGTAAATGTAATTTTAATATTCTCTATCAGAAACTTTTGTTAGTGGACTGGTCGGTTCTTAATATTTTTAACACTGTTGAGGAAGCCGTTTCTAAGTTCTATCAAATCTTAGATGAGATTTTCCAAATGCATGTTCCAAGGAAAGTAACTCATGTAGGTAATTATCCCAATTGGTTCAATGGCTCTATTATCAAAATAGTGAAGCAAAAGAAATCTGCTTGGAAAAAGTATAGTAAAACTAAATCTCCGGATGACTATCTGACATTTAAAACTTTGAGAACCCAGTTGAAATCTAAAATAAAAGATGCCTATAAATTGTATTTGCAACGAATGAATTACTGTGTTAAGTTAGACCCTAAGAGGTTTTGGGGATTTATAAACTCCAAAAAAAAATCAGACCTTTTTCCACAGAATATGACGTACAAAGATTCAAACCTCTCCAATCCCAAGGATATTGTTGACGCATTTGCTAATCACTTTGCCCAATCTTTTACTGACAAAAATCCACCTGTTAATCTTAAATGTACAAGTCTAAATAAAAATATTCTTAGCGTAAAACACATCAGTGAAGAGAATGTATATAACGCCATTAAGAACTTAAAACCCAAAATGACTAACGGACCTGATCAAATACCAGCTTTTGTAGTGAAAGATTGTGCAAATGTGTTCACGATACCATTAACTATTATATTCAACCTTATTTTAAAGACATGTACTTTTCCTAATAAATGGAAGTACTCTAGAATTTGCCCTGTTTATAAAAAAGGAGAAAAATCAAATGTTGAAAATTATAGGCCCATATCTATTATTTCTAATTTTGCCAAGGTGTTTGAAACAGTATTACATAATATTTTGTCCCATCATATATCACAAATGATTTCCTCAACTCAGCATGGTTTTACCAAAGGACGCTCCACTATGTCAAATCTTCTTTCCATAACACAATTTTTAAGTGATTCATTAGACAACCAATGCCAAGTGGACGTCATTTATACTGATTTATCAAAGGCATTTGATAAAATTGACCATCGCCTCCTAATGCAAAAGTTGGAATGTTTTGGGTTTTCGGACTCATTAATTTCATTGTTAAATTCTTATTTAGACAGTCGATATTTATTTGTTAAAATCAATGGATTTAAATCAGAATTGTTCAAACAAGAGACAGGTGTTCCACAAGGCTCCGTATTGGGTCCCTTGCTTTTCAATATGTATATTAATGACATTGTTGATGCCATAGATGTGCATTCCCTTCTCTTTGCGGATGATTTGAAGATTTATACTGTAGTCAATTCATTTCATGATTCTCTTCGGCTTCAAAAATGTCTTGACAGAGTTTACAGATGGTGTTTGAATAACAATTTAATGATTAATAAAACTAAATGCTATGCCATGTCATTCACCAAAAAAGAAAAACCCATTATTTACAGATACAGCATTGATAACACCGTTCTTACTAGGCCTGAAGTTATACGCGATCTTGGGGTGGTCTTCGACTCAAAACTTTCATTCAGTCAACATATTCAGGCAATAACTGAGTCTGCTTTCAAATCCTTAGGCTTTGTCATCCGGAATGGTCGGGAGTTTGGTGATATTGAAACACTGAAATTACTCTATTTCACTTACTGTAAATCTTGTCTTGAATACGCCTCTGTCATATGGAGTCCTGTATATAATATCCACATTTCTTCCCTTGAAAGAATACAAAGACGTTTTCTTAAGACGGTGTCCTACATAGTCGATGGCGTTTATCCCCTGAGAGGTTATCCTCAGGATTTACTTCTGGGTAGATTCAAAATTCCATCTTTGCTAAATAGACGTAGAGAGCACTCGGTAATAACTTTATTTAAAATTGTCAAAGGACTGCAAGAGTGTCCTGATATACTTTGCAATTTATCACTTAAGATCAACAGAGGGAACATGCCTAGTAAAAATTCTTTCTATTTGCCCACTGTACGCACTATCAGTAGAGCAAATTCTCCACTTGTTCAAATGGTTGTTAATTATATGGACATCGAGAATCAAGTCGATCTATTTAACTGCACTTTAGGTCAGATTAAAAGATACTACCAAACAGAGCCAAGTTGAAGTTATGCTTAAAATATTTGTACAACGTTTCTGTGTCCTGTAATTGGGTTCCCCACCCGTGGACACTATGCATTAATAATAATAATAATAATAATAATAATAATAATAATAATTAAGAGGCATCGTCTGTAGTAATAAATTTATTAATTTATTTTACACTGTGATATAGGTGTCTAATATATGTATGAGTGATTTTAGATGAGTATAATAAACTATTAACAAACTATAACCTAGTACGTTTATTCCTAACTCAAACACGTTATTTTGTACAAAAATTATCGTTAACTTTGGCTGAATTTGACTCCCTAAAAATAAGATTTCTTTAGAAAATTCCACTATAGTACACGTTAAAATAACCTCGAACCGAACAACGAACCCAAATAACCCTCCTAGATATGTACAAACAACAAGTTGATAATCACACAAAATGCCCACTCTATGTACACGACGAACATTAAGACTGGGTGTAAAAGAAACCTTGCAAATTCCGTGCTACAACAGCTGAATCCGTGCAATAAGAAAGTGTCCTCAAAATTGACAAAATTCGTGTAGGAACTTCAAAATTGAATTTTAGACTCAACCAAGTCTCCGTATTTACAATAAATAACACTAACCCTACCCTATTTTACGTTTAACACAGGTATTTGAGTCAATCGCACTAAGTCGAAATCTTTATAGTCTGATCGTTGTTGTTCAACACCTCCTCGTCCACCTTGCCCGCGAAGTCCTCCAGCGGCGCCTCCTCCGAGTACCCCTCCGAGTCGTCGTCGTCCTTCACCACGTCGATGACGCTGTGCGACGGCGGCGTATAAATCCGCGTCTGGTTGTACTCCCCCGAGTACGTCACCTTCCCCATGAACGACCTGATCTCGTCGAAGCAGGCGTCCTCGCGCTCGTTCTCGTTGCTGCTGCCCGGGGAGTCCGCCACCACGCCGCCGTTGCCGTCGTCGGCTTCGTGCTTCTTGAGGTGCCGGTCGAGGTTGGTCTGCTGCCCGAAGCACCGCTCGCACAGCGGACACTTGAACGGCTTCTCTTTGTTGTGGATGTTCCTCACGTGTCTCTGAAGATTACTCGAGATACTAAAAGAGCGCTCGCAGTAGCGGCACTTGTAGGGTTGCTCCCCGGTGTGGGTCCTCAAGTGTCGGGTTAAATTCGCCGACCTGGGGAAGACCTTGCCGCAGAACTTGCAAGCGTAGCGGTCCTTCATTTTTCCTTGGGTCTGTTGCTGGATCATGTCGTGGAAGGGTTTACCCCCGAAATTCTGCAACCCGGGACGCAGCAAGTCGATGCGGTGGGGTTGCAAGGAGTTGAGGAAGGGGAATCGAGGAGGACCGAAAGGTGATGGAAGGAGCCTCTCGTTGCTCTGCGACTGGAAATTGGGGAAGTTGGGTCTGTACATCTCGAGGAGCATGGGGTGGATAGGGCGCGGGTACGCCATAGGGGGGGTGGTCACCACGTCTTTCTTTTCCTCTTCGAGGTCCACCACTTCGATTTTTTCCTCTTTAGGTTTAGGGAGCAGGTCGCGGATTTCGTGTTTGAGCAGCGGCTTTTCTTGAGGTACCAATCGCGACTTCTTCCATCCGATGGATAAGTCTAGAGGTTGCTCACCCTCTTCGCTGCTGACGCTTTGAGGGGTTTTGGTTTCGCTGCTCCTGGATAGATCCTTCGGGTAGTCTTCCTCCTGGGGGGTGTGTTCTCTTTGTCCGAGGAGCAGCTGCCCCGGTCTCGCCGGGGACGGGGTCAAGTTAGCTTCTTCAGCAGTCGGTGGACTTATCTTAGCCGATATTGACGGGACTCGGGGTGGGGTGAACCTCTCCTTCACCGGACTGAACCTCTCGGGGCTCATCGTCCTCACCTTCTTCGGTGGTGGTCCCTCCGGGCTATCTTCAGTCTTCAACTTGGGTAAAGGGAACAGCAACGGGTTCATAAACGCCGGTGGGGGTCCCGACGGGTGGAATATCTGGGGATAAGGCGAGAAGTGCGTAGGAAAAAAGGGCAAATGGCAAGTGGGAGGTCTGTACATCGAAAAAGGATTATTACTGCCCATCGGGAGTTGCTGCTGGGACGTCAAAGACGGCGTCGGCGTCGTCGAGTCACAAAATCTCTTGTGTTTTGACAGCGACGTCACCGTGGAGAAGGATTGACCACACTTGACGCATTTGATTTGCATGCGACAGTCCGCGTGCATCCGCTTGTGGCGGCAAAGGTTCGAGAACTGGGTGTAAGCCTGGAATTAACACTACCATTAACACTAAAATTCTTCCACTATGTGGGATAGTTACCTTGAAGCACACTTCACACTGGAAGGGCTTCACGCTCGAGTGTATGTGCGTGTGCTGCTTGAGTCCCGACGACGTGGCGAACGTTTTCCCGCACTCGGGGCACGCATGGGAGCGAGCACCCACGTGGTGGGTCCGAATGTGCCTCTGGAGGTTGCTGGGGTCTGTGAAAGTCTGCAAACTTTTACCATGACGACTAGTCCGGGCTGGTTGAGACCTCACCTTTGGACAGTTCTCGCAGTGGTATTTCCGGTGCTCGCCGTGCACCACCGAGCGGTGCTTGATGAGGCAGGGCCGGTGCGAGTAGGCCTTGGGGCAGAGGTCGCAGGGGTACTCGTCCCGGCGGTAGTTATGCTTGACCACGAGGTGGTCGTCGAGCCTGGAAAAACGACAGTAGTAGGGCGCGTTATGGTGGATGGACACGCGAGGTGTCGTTAATGTATCATCAATAACACTCAGAAATGTCAATTAATGAATTATTGAAGGGTTGAGCCAAGTGGTGTGATTCCCACTATTTGTGTAATTGAGCCGGGGAAGACAACAGAGACGACGGATTCGTGTACAATTAAGACGATTTTTCCTACTCCTATCGAATCCAGAAGGTAGTTAACGTAACAAATCTGGTAATAGACGTATCGTGTTGCGTAGGCCCATCGACCCAATAAAATGGGCATCAACAAAACAAATATTTACCCTTCAGCCGATATAATTTACCAGGAGGACATTAAAACCATATAAAGAGATAATGAAACGGGGGACCATTACTATATGCTCCGACTTATAAATAATAAATGGTACACGGAGTGGAGCATCACGTCACGTTTCCACTGTTGCCACAAACATACATTCGAACCGATAAACAGCCACGATAAAAGAGTAATTACTAATTAAGAACTCCATGAACCGACCGATTAGCTGAATTATTAATACGACAAGTAACCGTAATCCTCGCACCGGACTATTTTAAACCCTCTGTGTTTATACTCACTTATCTACGTCGTTGAAGGGCTGGTCGCACACGCAACACCGCGTTTCGGACTCGTCCTCCTCGTCGTCTTCGCGCTCGTCGACGGTGCCGCTGTGTTGGGATGCTGGAACGAAATAGAAGAGTTAAAATTGTAGGTGGATATTATTCAGGAAGTCGAACGGCGAAATTGATTCTGGTGTTTAGACAAACAAATTTGAATACATTTTGACTACATTTTGACATCTGCCAAAATAAGTCAAAAGCTGTCAGAATTATATATATATATATATATTGTTATATCCCAAAAGTGAGAATCTTTTCATAAAATATTTTACAATGATTAAATCAAAGTAAAATTTATAACCGCTGCAAAAAAAAAGAAAAAAAACAAAATATTTAAAATGCCAAAATTTTGAAAATTACCAGATTTGAGTTTTCTCACGTTTGAGCTCTGTTGAAACATTTTTAAAATTAGAGTAGACATTTCGCAAAAACTCAGAATTTTTTAAAATATTTAAAAGTGAAAAAAACTTGGATTGTTTCGAAAAGCATAAAATTTTGTTCAAGCTGCATCAAAGTAAACGAACTAACGAATAACAAAAATCTTGAGAAATGTCAACTGAGTGTAAAAAAACCATTGAGAATACAAATTTCTTTAAAATATTTCATCTATCAAATTGGACTAAACAATTGTGAAATTTATTACTTAAATTTAAATTCCATTGAAAATTGAAATAAAGATTCTTCAAAAATATGAAAAATATATCATGCGTTCAAGAACTGTAGTCACTGATTCCAAAAAGTGATAAAACCAAAGCTAAACCTTACTAAAATTAAAAATCAAGGAAAACATTTTCATGCATGATTTTTTTTATAAACACCTATGTAATTTTTGACCATTTCGATTTGCAAAATTTTTCATTTTTCGATTTTTCACTCTTTCGATTTCGAATTTTTCATCTATGTTCCCAAATTTTTGATTTGCAAATTTTACAATTTTCTAGTTTATTTTTCAATTTCTTGATTTTTAATTTTTCAATTTTCCAATGTTCGGATTTCACGATTTTTCGTATTTTTAATTCTTGATGTCAGTCTCTATTTCAGTGTTTTGATTTTTTTTTTCACTTTCTCGAATTTTAATTTTTTGATTTTTCAATTTTTGACTTTTTCAATAATCGTGTTTTATATTTTTCAATTTTATTTATAATTTTTCAAAATTTCAGTTTGAAAAAATTATATTCTTTTTGAAAATTTGACAGAATAATAAAAAATCGATAAAATAACTAATTAAAAATCGAAAAATTGCAAAATTGTAAAACCAAAAATTGAAAATTCAAAAAATTTAAAAATCGCAAAACGGTAAAATCGAAACGTGGAAAACAAAGATGACGTCATCACATCCTCAACGTCATTAAGATTTATAAACATTTTTTCTAGAACCGAAAAGAAAGTTTATTTTTGAAATTACGATGCGACGTTGCCACATTATTCCAAATTCCTTGAATTTTTTTAGCAATCGAAAAGTTCCCAAAAAAATCATAGTAAAGTTATTTTTAAAGTTTGTCTTACAATATTTTGTGGAGAGATAAAGAAAGGTACACCCTTTGTTGTGATATAAATGAGATTAAATTTTCATATACAGAGTGTTTACAAAAAAATGGTTAAATTATTACAATTTTTTTGATAATAATTACTGCCACTTTTTACTTTCTTAAAAGACAGTAATAGTATACAGGGACTTTAATATATATTATTCACTACTGAAATATCGATCCGAAGTTCAAAAGTAAACTGTGGTTATAAAGCCTATGAAGAGATAAAAATGGATATGGTTTTTAAAAAAACTAAGCTCTGTATAGTTAAAAATAATTTTAGAATACAGTCCAAAAGAAACGTATAACTTTACAATATTTCGCTGTATTTTTAACAACAATTTAACGACTTAAATCACCAACCAAAACTGGAGAAAATGTAATTAAATACACAATTTTCCTTAGATATTTTGAATCATTTGAAAAACCAAACATCCGGACTTAACTAAAGCACCTGTGCAATTTAAAAAAAAATCAAACTACTTCCACGTGATTAAAAACCCCCAACACTCCAAAAACGACCTTAAAAAACAGTAAAAAAAGTCAACTAAACCCATTACCTACTTCAGTCAAAACCACCCCAAATCAAGCCAAACTCCTTCTTTGTACACTCAACTCCTCCTGGAAACTAAAACTCGATACCCAAAAGTGTCCAAAATTCCGGCACCCCGGCCCAATCCACAGGTACCAAACGCACAAACTAACCAGAACATAAGTCACCGAGTCATATTGCACCTCCACCTGCCACCCCATTGGCGGGTCATAGTTGACTATCGGCGTCTCTTTTTAGCTAACCCTGTCAAGATAGCCGATTGTAATGTAATAATTGAGAATAGTGGGAGGTTTCCGGTCGAGGGGAGTCGCTCCGGTCGGGGTAATTTCGTTTTAACCCTCGCACGTGATTCCGATTGATAAGTGATTTTATTATCAACGGTTTTAGCGGCGTGCTTATTATGCGGAACGGGATTTTTGCCGAACGGAGGATTGTTTTATGGAGAAGGGCGCGAGGAGGAGCAAAGGGAAGGGGGGATGATTTTTGGGGAAGAGGGTGGGCGGGATGGATTAAGGGATGATCCTTATTATCGTTTGATAAGTACCGTGAATTTCGAATGTTATAATAATTTAAAACACAATCGTTATATAAATATGTATATGTTTTCTTCGATTTTCTTCGTTTTGATTCGTCTCTTGTACAAAATTGTGCGTTCTTTAGAAATAATCAACTATTTTTTTCCAACGTTCCTAAACATTAAATTAAAAAAATTGGAATTTGGATGGATACTTCAAAACGTTTATTTATTTCTTCATTCTTTAAAATAAAATCAGTGACCAGTTTTAATAATGCGAGTACTTAATTTTTGTGTTATAAAAAAAAACAAATAATTAAAACAATTAAAAAATACAAAAATTGAAATTTGGGAACAAAATTTCTAATTGTGTGGTAAACATGGCGCTAATTTATTAATAAATAGTTAAATAAAAAATCTTTGAAACAAATAATGAAAAACAATATTTTTCACCAGCTTTCCTGAAAGGATGAATTCTTTTAGTAACATTAATTAAAGAAATTTACTTAATTCTGATACCTCGATAGAAGAGTAAAAATAATATATTTGTAGAATTCTACGAAAATTTCTTATACAAGTTCAAAATTTCAAAATTTTTCCTAAAAAATGGTTAAAATAGGTTCAATCCACGAAGAATTGGTGCCAAACTGTAAACAACCTTCCGCCAGTTACAAATTCAAATGGCCGTCACGACATTTGTTCAAATTATCGTGAAAGAGACTTTAAAATTTTCAAAATTTTTCCAAAATATTGGTTAAAATCGGTTCAATCGCCTGAGAATTGGCGTCAAATTGTAGATAATTTTCGGCCAATTACGAATTCGAAACCGCCGTCACCACATTTATTCAATTTATCGTGAAAAGTGAGTTTAAAATTTCCAAAATTTTTCCAAAAAAATGGTTGAAATGGGTTCAATTGACTGAGAATTGGTGCCAGACTGTAGACAATCTTCTGCCAGTTACAAATCCAAAATCACAGTCACGACATTTATTCAAATTATTGTGAAAAGAGAATTCAAAATTTTCAAAAATTTTCCCAAAAAATTGTTAAAAGGGGTTCAATCGACTGAGAATCTAAGCCAAATTTTAGATAACCTTTACGTAATTACAAATCCGGAATCGCCATCACATCATCTCTTCAAATAATCGTGAAATGTGAGCTGAAAATTTTCAAAATTTTTCAAAAAATGGTCAAAATGGGTTCAATCTATTGGGAATTTGTCTCAAATTGTAGATAATCTTGAGCCAATTACAAATCCGAATCGTCTCCACATCGTAAAAAGTAAGTTAAAATTTTCAAAATTTTTCGTCAAAAAAATTTTAAATGGACTCAATTGACTGAAAATTGGTGGCAAATTGTAGATAATCTTCCGCCAGTTATAAAACCAAAATTGTTGTCACAACATCTATTCAAATAAACGTGAAAAATGGGTTTCAATTTTTCAAAATTTTTCCAAAAAATGGGTGAAATGGGTTCAGTTGACTGAGAATCGGTGTCAAATTGTGTATATAATCTTTCGTCAACTACAAATCCAAAATCGCCGAAATTGAATAACCTAGAAATTTGGAATCGAATATTTGAACCATTTTTAAAAGAAAAATTGACAAACTTAAAACGGAAAACTTGAAGAACTGCAAATTGAAAAGTTACAAAAATTTAATTTTGAAAAAACAAAAAATTACAAAATCGTAAAATTTAAAAACCTATAAATTGAAAATTTTTAAATTGCCAAGAGATTGTAAAATTGACGAAGACACGAAAAATCCACAAATTAAAATTCGATAAAGTGATAAATTAAAAAAAAATACATTATTGGTAAAAATTGAAAAATGGAATAACTGAAAAATTTTTAATTGAAAATCCGAAAATTTAAGATACCAAAAATAGCAGAATTTAAAATTTAAAAATCGCGAAACTGAAAAAACAAAAAAATTAGAAAACTGAAAAATGGACAAATTTGAAAAATTTAAACTTGAGCACTCGAAAAATTGTAAAGCAGGAAAATAGCAAATCGAGAAATGAAAAATCGTAAATTTAAAAAAACGAAACATAAAAAAAATACAAACTGAAAATTCGAAGAAATAAATTGAAATAATGAAAGATTCAAAAACCGAAAAATTGAAAATAGATAAATTGAACTTAAAATTGAAAACTTGCAAAATTGCAAATCGCAAATTCCACTAAATAAAAATTGAAAAATCGAAAAATTAAAAAAATTTAAATGTCCAAAAATCGGCAAATTTAAAAATTGAGAAATGGCTGATTGAAAAAGCGAATAAAAAAATTGATAAATCGAGAAAATAAAAAATGAAAAAATTAAAAACAAAAACAAAATTAAATAACCCAAAAATCGGGAAATACTGAAAAATCCACAAATTTCGAACAGAAAACTTTAAAAATTGCACATTGAAAAATTAAAGACACGAAAAATCGAAATACTTGAAAACTCGAAAAACTACAAATCG